CTACATGTACATGATTTCTTGCCAAGAGCCACAACATACTATATATTGTCCACCAAAACATGAAATTTGGTTATTGTGATCATTTGCCTTAATTGAAATGCAATCAGTCATCTTCTCTATATGTTTGTCTAAGATCTATTGTATCTTAGGACAAAATTTCCCATTCCAGTTTGCAGCTGCTCTGGCCTTATTCTGCTAGAGTCTTACCATCAAGTTCTCTTTAATCCATTCCAGTATAGTGATGATGGGCTTGCCTCTTGCCTTAAGGATATTTGAACTGAAAGACTCACATACATTATTAAGCACAATATCACATTTTGGGACACCCATGAAGTGTTATTTTGATCACCCACTTGGTGCTTTATCATGAAACCATGACAATGCATCTTCACTCAGATTTTTCATATACATGACCATCCACTTAAATTCCCCCACTGTAGTCCCCAAAACCCTGCATTCTTGAAGTTAGAGTGAAGGTGTCTAACACAAAACCTATTAGGACTGTTTGAGAAAACTTCATTGCACTCTTGAAGGTCATTTTCTCATAAACTTCAATCTACAGGTCTTACTTAAGTATGGTTAAAAACCATGACCAATTCTCATTTGTTTCTCCATTCACAATAGCATATACTATGGGTTATAAATTGTTTTTAGGGTCAACACCCACTGTAGTTAGCAAGATACCCAAATTATGGCCCTTTACGTGACAACCATCTACACCAATTATAGGCCTGCAACCTAATTTGAATTCCCTTTTCAAAGCATTAAAACAATAGCAGAACTTACTTAACCGGGTTTAACCATTTGAAGAGATAATATCAAGGATGACAATGCTTCCAGGATTTGTCTTCCTCAACTCTTCAGAATAGTCCCACAGCTTAGAGAATTGCACAGAAGGATCACCTTGTATCGCTTTCAAAGCTCTCCTTTTGGCCCTGTATGCTTGTTTCTTGGACATATCAATTCCAAGATTTTAATCACTTCATCCCTCCACGCTCTGGTATTTCTCTTACGATCAGCCTCAAATATGTTAAGGTACTTTTCACTCAGCCATCTACCTTTTAAATTCTTCACAATAAACATTGGTTGACAAGTGTGATCATGAATGTAAGTAGAAATTAGGAAATCTTGCTCGTATGCTTTCTTAAGAACATTGATTCTCCATTTACAGCTGTCATCGTTACACTCGGCATATACATTTTTAATATAATTCTTTGTAAACTTCAAGTTTCTTTTTGTGGTAATAACGTGAGACTAAATTGCCTTCTAGAATTCGACTTTAGTAGCAAAAACCATGCCTAATTCAAATGTTATATTGAAAATGAGTGAAAGGTTTAAAATAGGCTCATTTGGCTCACATTTTTCATCAAACACTCTAGACTCATATGGTTGAGGGCCATCAATAACCATATCATCCTCCTCATCACCATTATCTAAATCATTTTTAATCTTTGTCTTTGTCATCAACATTTTCTTCCGACAAATCATCTTCTTCACTAACATTTTCAGGACTCATCATTTTGTTCATTAAAATTAGAGTTCTTCCCATCTACAATCATCCTCGTCTTACCTAAGACATTACCCATGCCTTCTTCAATTGGTACCCAAATGGAACCCAATATGTTCTCCTTTCATCATCTGGAACAAAAGCAGAAGTATATTTAGGGTTGTTAGACTGACTAGGCTCATGGGACTCATTAGACTGATTAGGCTCACTTAGCTCATTAGGGTCAACAATAGGATCCATAGGATTAGGAACCTTCACATCAACATATAAATGAATATCTCCAATTCTAACAACATGGAACTGTTTTTTTGTTTTTCAAGGTTGTGGGCATAAGATTAGTTAATAGGTTCGATTATAGTGTAGACTAGGTTAAAATGGAGTTCGAGTTTTTTACGTCCAAGTTGTATTTTGAGTGCACAAACCGAGCTATTAATGAAAGAGCTCTTAGGGATAATGGGAAGCTCCCCGAAGAGATTTTAATGTTAAGTGTTTTTCCTCTTTTTTTTTTTTTTGTTTATGTTCGAACACGATTGTGTACTCTAGTTTATTCTCAATAATTCGTTTTCAATATAAAAGAGAAAGTATAATCAAAAATCAGTTAAAATATAAATTATGTATCACGTGCATCTTAACAGATACTTTTAAATAGTTGTATACATTCAAACTTATGTTCAATTACTCGTGACATAATAATATTGCCATTTTTTTATTTTTTTTTTCTTGCACTAGAAACTAGAGTATAAACTGGGCCACCTTAATAAAAAGATTGTCATCCAGTAAGTCCATCTCCCACAAACACTCCAAACGCCAAGTATCAAGCCATGTGCCAAAAATTACAGTTTCTAATGGACATCACACTTGATCTGAAGATGATAGATAATGAATATCAAATGAATAGTCTAAACCAAAAAGTAAATAACAACATAACATAAATAGGCATTGTCGTAAACAAGAATAAGTCACAGTACTTACACAAACATCAACATCTTGAAGTAAATAAAACTTGATACATGCATAACTAATCAAATACATATACACGCAACAAAGCAATTAGAACAAAACTAAAACTAATTAACAACGTATCTCTTAGGCACAAGTAGAAGTGGATTTTTCTTATGCGTGGCGAGACCCAACAAAGGCTCGGTATCAACATCTTTCGGTTGAATCCCTTGAGGCAATTCCCAGTCAAATGAATAGAGCATATTCGCAATCGTGAGCTCCACGGTTGCAAGTCCCAAAAACATCCCGGGGCAACTCCTTCGGCCAGATCCAAACGGGACCACCCCAAAATCCTGTCCTTTTATGTCGATGTTGTTGTTTAGGAATCTCTCGGGCAAGAACTCATCTGGATTATCCCAACGCTCGGGATCTCTAGCAACTGCCCATGCATTAACATAAACGATGGATTTAGGTTGAATATCGTAGCCGTCTAGAGTGCATTTTTCTATTGTTTCTCTAGGGAGGAGTAGTGGGGCTGGAGGATACAATCTGAAAGACTCATTTATGACTGCTTTTAGGTAAGGAAGTTTATGCAGATCATCTTCATCCACCATTGTTTTTTTGTCGATCGAGGTTCGAATCTCTGTTTGCACTCTGTGCATCAATTGGGGTTCCTTCATTAGAGCCGTCATCGTCCAAATGATTGCTGCTGAGCTTGTAGAAGTTGCCGCTACAAAGATGTCCTACAAAATTTTAAAAGGATTAGCATTCACTAAGGCAAAATAAAATATGTTTCTTCAGAACATTTTGCACATTTTCTCGTCAAAGCTATATATAATCCTATTGCGAATGTATAAAACTATAAATTATTCACAATGGACCCATTTCCATCCAAATTGACGATAATGAGTTCTATGTGGGTGAAATATAATTCTATTTTTTTTAATATATATGAAAGTTTTCAATAATTGTAAAAATACGTCTACTACCTTAATACCCTTATTCAACAATAATATAAGCGTGTAACTTGGATACAGACACTAACATGTTACCTAAATAAGTTTATTGAACCACACCCTTGTTAATTTAACAATTTTGTAATTTGTAGACATATGGGGGTATTGCTCAAGCTTAGGCTACGTTTGGTAAAATTAGCTGATAAGCTAACTGATAGCTGATAAGTTAGTTTATATCTTATCAGTAATTTTTGAGCTTATAGCTTACATCGTATAACTTATAGCTGAAAAGGTAGTTTATATGATAGAAATGTTTTATAAAATTAGCTGATAAACTGACTGAAATAAAAATTTCAACGGGCTTATTTGAAAAGCCACCCAAAGAAGCTTATAAGATGAGCTTGAGCTTTTTAAGAAGCTCATCCTACCAAAGGAAATTTATTTAAATACTAGAAGCTTATAAGCTAACTAAATAAGCTATAAGCTAGCTTATTTGTCTACCAAACATAGCCTTAGAGTTGTTTTGAAAAGAAAAAAGGGTGTAATGGAAGAAAAATATCACTAGTAGTTTTTGAAATTTAAGTAATATACTAGAAGGGGTGAGTGTGTATATTTAGGGTGTGATTGGTTTTTGATCGATTAATTTTTTTTGTTAATCATAGTTAATTTAAAAAAGGTGGTATGACTAGTTGTTAGTAAAAATTTAAGTTTAAATTGAAATAAAATAATTAAAGTTAAGTTGAAGTAGAAATAAGAGAGAGATGATATGAAGTGATGATTAGTTATAATTATGTGAATGAATGAATAGTGAATTAAAGTTGATGTGATATATAAGAGTGCTTGATTGATATTATTTAATTATACTGATAATAATGATTATAGTGAGGTTGAGTTGAAATTAAATTTAAATTGAGGCTTGACTGGACATTTTTTTTTTTTTTTTTTTGGGATTGAATTTATATTCAATCACACCCTTATTGAACCATAGAAGAATCACGAAATTTTTTTAAAAACATGGGGAGTTATATAACTTGCATCACTCAAAAGCAAGAAACACTATAGAGCAGTTTCTAAAAGGACGATGGACTATTCTCATCCAAATTCATTCTATTCAATAGACTCAAATTTGAATTATAGCGGCATGTTGCTTGATACATAACTTCATTTGGACGAATATGGTTGTCGATTCACTAGAAACAAAGGTGAACAATGATTATGCAGAATCACACGACGAGTTAAACGAAGCCGATTACGTTGACGTTAGAGCACACTCATGACTGGACCAATTGGAAGGAGAATTCCGCTATGTATGTGTAGAATGATTGGTGTGGTCATGTATGGGGACAGCTATGATCATATATTGTACCTACATATTATTTTATCAAAAATTTTGAATATGTATGCATGTATTTTGTAGTTTTGAAAAAATATTCTTAGTTTTAGATATTTTAATTGTATTTTGTAGCGTGATTTGTTTCTAGTTGTGGATGACTATTAGTATGGTTATGATTTTGCTTTATTGCTTACACGTGCGAGGTTTAAGACATGAATTCATCGTCAAACATCTCCAAATCAGCTTCCATTTCATGCAAAACCACACACTATAGAAGATCTTGGACCCCATAGGAAGAGAAGACATTGGTAGATGCAATGAAACACACCTGTTACCAAATTATTCTTGAAGCACATCTGCGCCAAGCACGAATATCCGAGCAAACCCACGTAGCAACTCCATGATTGTAGTGTGGAAAAAAAGTTAACACTTTTGTTGTGGTGGTGCAAGATGTATTGAATGTAGAAGGTGGACTTGGTAACTTTCCTATAAGGGAGTCAACGCTTGTTCACAGAGGTAGAAGTGAGTCAAGCATGGAACCACCGAATATCAAAGGAGTTGACACTTCATCCCCGACTCGTGGTCAATCTTCAAGTGGGCAAGGTTAATAGCAGAAAAAGGGTTTGTGTGCAATTTATGGAGATGATGAGCAACTTCATGGAAAATACTAAGTGACATTTAAGTAACCTCGCTAGTCATATAGGATTTGAGCAGGATGCCGGCAAAGCACACAAAGCTTTTGATGAGGCATTGGACAAGATGGGTTTCCTGATGGTGCAAGATAAGATTCTGGTTGGTGCACGACTCTGTTGAATGACTAAAGAGTTGGACTATTATTTATTTAGCTTAAAGGAGGCCGACAAAGTTGTGATTGTGCAAATGATTCTAGAAGAAAAACTTTAAGAGACTGACAAAGAATTTTATGACATATTATTTGGAATAATATAGAACTTGTTATGTATTTTACATGCTAGATTCAATTGAATTGTAAGGACTCTATTCTTGTCGACATATTTTGATAGAAACAGAACTTTATGTTCAACATGATGTAGTAGCTATAGCTCAATCTGTACTCCATTTTTATTTATTTATTTATTTATTGAGTTTGCAATCTACTTAAAAAAAAAAAAAAAAAAAGACTTTAGTAGTTCACTTTTTGAGAGCATATTGATATATTCTTTTGATTGCTTATAATATTTCAAATTACCTCATTTAAGTTAAAATTTCTTGTTAAACACGATGCATAATAATTGAGTAGCTTCATTGTAATATCCAATGTTTTTAGTACGTACCGTATCGGTCGGTAATTCTGGTAGTACCGGATAACAGTCATTAGTACGGTATAATTACACCCAAAAATACTAGATTTACGGATATATCTTTTTGTATCGGGATCATACCGTAAAAACCTCAAAATACCGGTCC